CTCTTTCCTCCTCTTTCCCAAATCAGTGCCCGAGTCTACCTGAAGCTTGTCTGAGGCTCATCCCTCCAGCTACGTTCTGGCCCACCTCCCTTCCACCTCAGCAGGGGCCTCAGGTCACCTGCTCTCCCTCTCTGGAGCTCCTCCTTGCTCAAGTCCATATTCAAAGACAAACAGCAGCTACAGGACAACAACATTTTCAAACAAAAGTGTTTTAAATATATATTGAGCATCTATATTCTCTAAGGCAGCGCAGACTTGGTTTTGAATTCCAGGTCTCCAATTACTGTCAAGGAGGCATTGGCCAAATTGTTTATTTTTTCTAAACGTCAGCTTCTTCCTCTGTAAAAAGGGGTATTATAAAACTTTTTGCATAATTATTAAGGATTAAATATTGTCATCGTAAAACGTATTGCAACAAGAACTTGACATATTGGATAAAAATATTTACTGTTTGATCCATAGATTAGATGTGTTTTTTTTAAGCTTTTTTTTTTTTGAAGAAGATTGGCCCTGTGCTAACATCTGTTGCAATCTTCTTTTTTTTTTTTTCTTTTTCCTCCCTAAAGCCTCAGCACATAGCTGTGTATCATAGCTGCAGAGTTGTAGCTCCTCTATATGGGACACAGCCTCAGCATGGCTTGATGAGCGGTGAGTGGGTCCACGCCCAGGATCCGAACCAGCAAACCCAGGGCCACCGAAGTGTAACATGTGAACTTAACCGCTGCGCCACCAGGCTTGCCCTGAGATTAGATGTTTTTATTTAAATATTTATGTAATCTGAATGATCTTTAAATTTCATTAAGCATCTTATACTTCAAATTCCTACAACATGAGCAGAAACTGAAGGGAACATTCAAAGAAAAATCATGACGAGAATTCCTTAATTCCAGGTTTGATGGTGAGAAAAGCCCAAGGCTTCCTGTGTTACAAAAATTATTTGCTTAAAAGAGAATGACCAAAACAATAAATTCCGTGAATCCCTCTTAATAAAATGTTCTATCTCCCTTGTAAAAAACAACAAACAGCAGTCTTCTCTGCCCGTGCCCCTCTGGCTACTGTCCTATTCACAACCAAGTTTCTTGCAAGAACAAGCTACCTTAGCTCTCAACTCTCTTACCTGCCTCCCATTTGCTCCTTAACTCGCTGCAAACTGATTTCCTGAAGATCATCAGTAGCTTCCATGTCAACAAATCCAGCTGGCACTTTAGTGCTCTGGTTCATTCAATCATCTTACGGAGTGCCTGCCAGGGACTGAGTTCCTGGCACTAAGCTAACACATTGGAGGTAGCTAAGCATTGTTTTCATTCAACAAGTATTTTTTGAGTTCCTTCAATGTGCCAGGCGCTATGCTCTGTAGGCACTAACAGACAACCTGCCCTTGAGGAGAATATAGGCCATTACAGCAGCATCTGGCACAGGCAGTGAGACTTGAATAAAACACGAGATGGACACCTAATGTTAGCAGGTGGGAGGCAAGAGAATCCCAGAAGCCATCCCTGAGGAAGTGACACCTGAATTTAGTCTAACAGATGAGGAGGGATTGACCAATGACGGGATGAAGAAGGATGCTGCAGGCAGAAGAACAGTATGTGCCAAGCAACAGTAGAAACATAGTACAAGGTATGCTATCATATTCACAGGGTACCATAGTCACAGAGGAGGGCATAGGAGACATTCAGAGAAGGCTTCCTGAGGGAGGTGACACCTAAACTGAGTCTTAAGGGATCACTAGGCATCTGTTAAGGAGGTGAAGGACATCCCAGGAAGATAATGCTGTGTGTGCAAAGCCACAAAGAATGGCATCTTGGGAGAGGTGTAAGTAACATGGGATAATGGCTGAAGTGTAGGCCAGGAGGACAGGGTAGCACCTGGGGGACATCAATGCCATGTTAAGCAGTTTGCACTGAAAGAGATAGCAACCACTGGAGAGGGGAGAGTTTGTGTGTGTGTGTGTGTCTGTCTGCTTTTCCCCTTTCAGAATGATCGCTCCAAATGCTATATGGAAGATGCATTAGAAGGGGCAAGACTGGAGGTGGAGAGACAAGTTAGAAAGAAGGCTATTGTAATGTAATGACTGGGGTGAAAAATGACAGATCCTCAACAAGGCAGTGGCTGTAGGATGTAATATTTAAACAGTAGGATCAATGATATAAAGTAATATCAACATAGGCTTTCGAGTCAGACAGACCGAAGTGTGAATCCCAGCTCTGCCCTTACTATCTGCGTGACCTTGGGCAAGTCACTTAACCTCTCTAAGATTCCATTTCCTCACCTGTGAATTCAGGACAGTAATAAAACCAACCTCACAGCTGTAGAAAGGATGAAAGAGCATAATATATGCAAGGACACAGCCCAAGACCGAGCACATGGTGAACGTGCACAAACGAGAGCTCCCGTCCTCAGCAATCTGGACTTGTTGACCAGATGCAGATACTGAGGGAGACCAGAGTGCACAACGACTCCAGGGTTTCTGGCCTGCTGTTACTAACAGAAAGCAGGGACAGGAGTAGGCAGGTTGGGAAGAAGGCCTGGAAGAGGATGCACTCATTTCTTGGGTATGACGTGCCCACTGTTGGAAGAGCTCATCCTCCACGGGTCTCTTCACATCTTGCTGTGTATGCCAAGAATGCAAGACTCTGACCACTTTTTACCTGGGCCACTTCTCGGTGTTGTGTTTGTAGTGAGCAACCTTGAGGGATGAGGTATTGTTTCTCTCCACGCTTGCTTACTGCTTTTGATATAAGCAGTCGATTCCCAAGGTCGGTGTTCCTCAGCTGTGATGCAAACCCACTGCATGTGGAGCATCCATCTGGGCCCATCACACTGCCCCTGTGGGACTCAGAGGCAAAGGGAACTCATGCAAATACGCTGGTGCTCATGCTATGCGCTGTGCGTGCCTGGGTAATAAAGTCCTACGTCTCTGACCCAGGAGTCTCATGTCTTCTGTCAGCATCCATGAATCAGTGACAGGTTAACTTACTAGCCTATGAGATGGAAAGAGAGACTTGGAGTCATCAGTGTGTGCATGGTGGGTAATGACTGGGAAGAGGTCTGGGGCCGCACCCTGGGTAACATCAACAAGTACAGGATGGGGGTAAGGAAAGGAGCTCCCAGAGGACCTCACAAAAGAAACCTAGAGGAGAACATTTCCCTACAAGCCAAGGGAGTAGAGTTCCAACCAAAACAGAGTAGGCAACAGGATCAGATGCTGCTTAAAAGTCAAATAATATAAAGACTGAAAGTGGCCACTGAATTTAGCAACTAAGTCACTGGCAAGAGACATTTCAATGACATGGTGTGGCCAGAGCCAAACTGGAGTGGGTGACAAATGAATGGAGGTAAAGAAGGTGTGAAAATCAATATAAGGTATTTCCAAAAAGCTTAGCTGAAAAGAAAAGAGAGAGGTGGGGCATAGGTCACCAGAGGGGATAGGAGCAGATGCAAGTTTTCTTTCTAAATAGATGGAGGAGATTTGAGCAGATTACATACTGAAGAGAATAAGCCAAAAAGAGGGTAAAGTGGGGGGGGGAAAAAGAGCAAGGAGAAGACGGATGGAATCAGAGCTCTGAAGACGAGGAAAGGGATGACCTTCAGATCCCAGGTGAGGGACTGGCCTGGGCCTTCTTTCACTGAGATGGCCTTTGCCTCAGCCACACACCCTCAAGCAGGCCAACCTGCCAGCTTGGGTTGTGGTCTGCCTTCAGGTGGGTGAAGCCCACTGTCCCTAGGGAGGGGCCTGGTCAGCAAGTTTCCTGGTGGCCACCTTGCCTGGTAGTCTTGCAGACCAGAGGTGAGAGGCACTGAAGTATTTCCCAGCCTCAGTTCTCTGGAGATGCCAACAGGTGTGTTCTACACACAAAGGGTCCCGGATAGTCTGGAAGGTGTTGCTCTGAGCCCTGTGAAGCCAGCTTGCAGGAAGACTGAGTGTTCTTTGCCAGCAGAGATGGGCATTTGGGAGTGGGGAGTCCAAAGGGAAGAGAAAGCCTGCTGGGGAGACACAGGGCCTCCTTCTCCTGGTACTCGGGTTGACGGAGAAAACACCTACGGGAAGACCCAATGATCATTCACAATGTAGGAAAAGGAGCTGTCCTTTGGGGAACAGCTGTACTCTGCTTGGAGTTTCTGTATCCCCCTCATCTCGCTCTCCCAGTTCCTGACACAGTGTTCTCGTCCCCACATGACAGAGGAAGCAGCTGAGGACTCGCCTGATGCTCAGGGCTCAGTACACGGTCGGCTCCAGCTCTTTATGATTTGGGATCTGGCTCTCCTGCCCCTGCAGCCCGCACTGTCCTTTCCCCCTAAAGGCACCCAGGGCCTGGGTCAGAGGCCAGTGCACACAACTGCTGCCCCTCCCGCAGCCCTGCAGCTGAGACCAGAGCAGCTGCCCCAGCCTACCAGGGTGGTCTGTGGTCTGTGACAGGAAAGGTCCCCCAAGTGCCTTAGCCTTCTCTCTCGGGCCCAGGTTGGCTTTCCAAGCACCATCAGACCCCAGGGGGTCTGGTCCCTGATGGCCAGGGAGGGAGGGGGCCAGTAGGAGTGTGCATTTGGGCCTATTCGCAGGCATGCCTCTGCTTTTCTGTACCGAGATTACCCCCAGGAACCTTCTCCAGAGGTGTGAGAGGGAGAACAAGAGAAGACAGCAGTTCTTTACCTTGACGTCCAGACCGTTTGAGAGACTGACGGAATCAAGGGACTCTTTCCATAAAAGGGCACACACACAACACACAACCTTGCACGTAGTTCCCGGGTTCACATACCAACCAGCACCGCCAGCACCTGCCTCCCCGCAGGCCAAGCGTCAAAGGACTGTAATCAGCCGAGAGGCTGGGTAAAACTGCTGATTCCCACGCCCCACCGCGGAAATTCTCACTCAGTGGGTCTGGGGCGAGGCCCGGGAGTCTGCGTTTTTAACCAACGCCTCAGGTGACTTGGGCGCTGATGCTTAGCGGAGCCCACTTTGAGAAACCCCGACTCTGGGACTGAGAGACTCCCGCCCCGCCATGCTCCAAACTTCCCCCATCCGGCCGGGCGCACGGGCCTCACCCTCGCGCGCGATCGTGGAAGCATCTGGGGAACGTGGTGGGGACCGACAGCGAGGGCCCCTGGGGCCTGCCTGTCAGCCCCTGTCGCCACCGTGCCACGGCCCCGAGAGGCGCAGCGCGGCGGCCGGCAGGGGGCGCGGCGGTAGGGACGACGCCGGAAGGGGGCGCCCAGCAGCCCCTGGCCCGGAGCGGAGGGGCGGGAAGGAGGCGGGAGGGGAGGGCAGAGAAGGGAGGGAAGGAAGGAGCGAGGCGCGCGGCAGCGGCGCGGAGGCCCGGCGCGGGCGCAGGGGCGGGAGCGGGAGCCCGAG